TGGCTATTATCAGAACTTCAACCGACTCTTCAGGTGGAATTTAAATTAAATCTTACCTTTTAAAATATCTGCAGAGAAGGAATGGAGTTATTCAGAAGAAGAGGAAAGAGTATCCATTTCAGTTTATAGAGAAGAGGAAAGAGAGGAAGAGGAAGAAGTGGAGGTTACAGAATATGAAGGTAAACAATGCAAATAAGCTAGTGGTGACCTGGAGTCTTGATAAACTGTTTTCCTTCAGATATTATGTACCCAGATTAACAAAAGTGATACAAATTCAGTTAACATCTACTGGCCTTATTTGATATGTCTTTTGATCAAACTGCAAGATTCAGAAGCCTTAATTAAACATCCAGTGTATTTCTTGTCCACCCCCTCTTAACTTGGCTATATAGGAGACAGGGCTTCATATTTAACTAAGCAGGTAACTAAAGTTGCAGGTATCTTCATATACAGTTATCCTTTCAGTAGATGGGACTTGGTTTCAGTATGGTGAGCTGAATGTAGTCTAATGTCTAAAACATAGGTAACAAAACCATGTTGATAGCACAACTCGATAATATGGCCTGACTCACATATTTTAAATGAATAAGGAATTATATTACCTTATTGGTAATATTAAATTACCAATAATTATATTACTTTATTGGCCTGGAAGTCAAGGCCAGGTTTGAGAGTGAAGCCCTGAGCATGTAGGGCTTTCCAATGTTCCATGTATGAAGAGAGAAATTGTGAAATATCTTTTATTAGATCAGCCCGTTATTCAGATGTTCACATGCCTATAATGCTAGCTCTCTATGGTTTAAGGACTGAGCAACAAGCTTTATTTCAACCTTTTCAATGAATTAGGACAGCCCTAGGTTTACTGCTAAAGTTTAGCATTGTGGCTAAAGTGGTATATCTGAAAGAACTTTACTAAAAAAGTTTTAATATACCTCTGCTTTAAGGATTAATCAGTAAGTTTCTTAATAAATATACTGTCTTCCTAATGAAAAGGTGGATAGAACTGTAAAGTCAGATGCCCTTGACATATGTGTCTCTGGCTAGTAAAAGGGGTCCTGCCCCTTCTCCACTTGGAAGGAGACACCATGTGAAATCCAGATGTGCAATCTTGACGGAAAGCCTTAGAACAGAGAAGACTTGACTCCCTGGAGGAAGCCCTCTGGTTCTGTTGTGCTTCCTGGGAAAGACCGAGATGTTAGGCAAAAGTCAGGAATCTGATGGATCCCAAGGGCCCTATCCCTTCTAGAAATGTTTGGGAAAGCTTAACATGTACACAAGGAAAGTTCTCATTGCGTGAATCTAATTTCAGCCCTTGACAGGATGCATTATAAATTTCTTTTTGGACTATAGACTCTAATTAAAAGGAAAGACATTGCAGGATATTCTTATGCTTTCATTAAATCCAAAAGATTTAGGGAAAAGATAGGTAGCCTGTTAAGTTTACTCCTAATGTTCATAACTAGAGCTCTCTATTCTATAATTAATCTTATACACACAGACTCAAAAATCACAGGAAGACTGTTAACCTTGTTCACCATACCTACTCTTGTAAAACTGGGGCGGTGGGGAGTCCTGATTCCAAGTTCTCAGCAGGTTTCTCATATGTAATACAGGTCTTTTCTTTCTCATAAACCTACTTATAGTTCTTCAAGTATACATTTCTGCCCTGTGCCTTCAAATCTAGTGTCATTGTATTTTTAACACTTGTCTTCAAATTCCTGTGTTCTTGTTAATTTAGCCACTAGAATTGTTCTTCTGTCTCATGTTTGTCCTGTTCTTCCTGTGAATAGAAGCATTGTTATCTTTCTGATACACTTAAAAGTTAAGTTACTGAAACAGTTTCTGGACTCTTTATTAAGGCATATGCTTTGATTAAAGATTATAAATGAGAACAACCAGGGATTTGGCAAGTGTTAAACTTTCACTATTTTACTTATTCTCTGACTTAATAAAGTGCAGCTAAATTTGAACATGAAAAACACTACAGGCTTATCTTCTTTAAAATTGATATTTTTAAAGTGATGGAGGAGCCTGAGGAATACATTGTAGAAGAAGAGGTGCACTTTATTTCTGAGGAAGTGGAAGCTGAACCCGCTGAAGGTACACCACTTCTTAGATTAACTCTAGCCCCTGTGTGTGTTTGACTTGTCCCGTTCTTAATGTTCTCTTACAGTTAATTCATTGCCTGTATTGCAAATGTCAGTAAATATCATGTTTAATTTAAAAATTCCTTAAATTTTTATTAAAAAGAAATCTGGACATTTCTACAAATATATTTTATAATCTTTTCAAGTGCCTGAGAAGAAAATCATCCCCAAACCGAAAATTCCTGCCAAAATAGAGGAGCCTCCACCAGCTAAAGGTACAGTTCTGTCTCAAAGAAATGGGATGCCTTTTGTCTTCATAGCTATGATAATGCTTTTAGTTTGAGTAACTGCCTCAGTTTTGCCAACTTATGTGTGGACATTTTAACTGACTGTGGTCGTTAATGTTTGTATAAATGTGTGATCTTTCATAAAGTGAGCTCTTTGCTCCCAAAGAATGGCACTTCTTCTGCAATGCAGACTAATATTCTTAAACCTCATATTTCTTAAGTTCCTGAAGCACCGAAGAAAATTGTGCCAGAAAAGAAAATTCCTGCTGCAGTTCCCAAAAAGGAAAAGGTGCCACCCACCAAAGGTACATGGGTTTTCCTTTATTCTTAGGCAATGCATGTGTTTAAATCTTAAATTGATACATTCTTCAAATTTTTATGACATTAACCAGAAATAAGTGTGCCTGTTTAGTGTTTTTCACACTTGTGTTGTGTCTGACCGTGTTGTGCAATGTCTTTTAAGTGCCAGAAGAACCAAAGAAGCCAGTTCCTGAAAAAAGGGCTCCTCCCAAAGTGGCTAAGATAGAAGAGCCTCCTCCTACCAAAGGTAATGAAGTCCCCAGCATGGCAACTAGAAACGTGTCTTGTCTTTGGTCTTCTCACTGCTGTCCTTGGCTCACCTTCTACATGGAGGTTATTGGTGTATGTTGGCCACAGTGATGTATTATTGCCTTGTCTATGGTGGATTATGACTCACTTGTTGTGAAGCTTATTTGTGTGCACCTTGTAAAAATTATATTCTAAAATCACAATAGCCTCTGGCTAATATACTTAATATAACTGATGCTGAAGCTGAAACTGCACAATACTTTGGCCACCTGATGTGAAGAACTGATGCATTTGAAAAGACCCTGATGCTGGGGAAGATTGAAGGCGGGAGGAGAGGGGGACAACAGAGGATGAGATGGTTGGATGGCATCACCGACTCGATGGACATGAGTTTGAGTAAACTCTGGGAGTTGGTGATGGACAGGGAGGCCTGACGTCCTGTAGTCCATGGGGTCGCTAAGAGTCAGACATGACTGAGCGACTGAACTGAATATACTTAATACACTTTTTAAAATTCCACTCTAAGTAATACAACTCCATAATCCTAAAATTATCTTTCAAGTGACTGAGAGGCACATGCAAATTACCCAGGAAGAAAAAGTTCATGTTGCTGTTACTAAAAAAGTGGAGCCTCCAAGACCAAAAGGTACATGGGGCCTTTTAATACCCAGAATGTTCGCTTACCCTCTTCTCTTTACCAAATACACTGATTATGGGTGTTGGTTTCTTGTTGTCATTGTTATCATTGTTTTCTGTTTGAAATCATGAAAATGTCAAGTCTTTTATGTTTGAGTTGCTCTTACACGACTACCATTTTGTGGTTTGAATGAGAAAAACAGTTCTTTAAAGTGAAATCTGTCTTTAAAGTGCCTGAGGAACCCAAGAGAGCTGTTCCAGAAGAGAGGTTTCCAAAACTCAAGCCTAGAAAGGAGGAGGAGCCACCAGCGAAAGGTACACCAACTTTTCCAAAAATCAAAATAAGCTTCTAAGTATTGAAGCTCATCTAGTGGAATTGAGATCCATAGACAAAATAATTTATGTATTACAAAGTAATTAATATACATATGCTACTCCATATCATCTCAAAACTAAACATTTCTGATACCAGAAAATGTACTCAAATCTTTCTCTTCTCAAAAAAACAAAAACAAAAAATGAAACCTCACCCAGGCATATGTAGGTAATTTCCCTTAAAATGTACTTGTCTTTTAATGTTTTTTTGTCTATATACTGATTTCCTTTGCTGACATGCTTGTTTTGTGTGGCAACCTTTGATGAAATTAAAAAATTTTTAAATCCTCAATCTTCTACATTGTGGTGGTAGAAGTTATAGAAATACCTCAGAATAAAAATGAGGAAACTATTCATGTGACATAAGTTTTTGTCTAATGGTTGTTTGATAATCATTGTTCATGCTCTCTAGTTATCTTTTTTAGTTCTCTTATAATTACTACTTGATCTTCCTAAAGTTTTTCAATGTCTTTTAAGTATTATGTAGCTTAGAAAAAAGCATTCATGTATCTATTAGACCATATTTATTTCTGAGGCCATTGAGTTTTCTTATCACTTAAATGAAACATTTAAACAAGGAACATGGTTATGGTTATCTTTGTCATTGGATTGTGCACACACAAGTTCTCTTAACGCGCATTATTTTTTAATCTTGTGATACATTTTCAATAATTACTCTTTTTAAAGTGACTGAACTCAAGAAAAGAGCTGTTAAAGAAGAAAAGGTATCCATTGAAGTTGCAAAAAGAGAACCTCCAGCCGCTAAAGGTATATTGTGCTTTGACTAAATAATAAAATAAGCATGAACCTACACAGCTCTTTGCCTGTTAGTTCCTAATTTGAGTCTCATCCTTCTGGCTTATTGTTGACTAAAGGCAGGGAATCTAACATTTGAAGTTGTAAATAGCCACTGTACACTCTGTAATACCTTGGCCAGCAAAGGACAGTCAAGGTCTCCCATAACTAGTGCATGAGACCATTACCAGGAAATGAATCACAGCACGTTGTCACTATGGGCCCTAAATGGGCTTCAGGTAAAAGGCTGCTGTTGTCAATATTATTCCAGAAGTTACTGTAACAGCACAGAAAGAATGGGCTTACACCAAAGAAGAAGAAACTGTTTCAGTAGAACGGGAAGAAGAATATGAGGAATACGAAGAATATGATTATAAAGAATTTGAGGAGTATGAACCAACAGAAGAATATGATCAGTATGAAGAGTATGAGGAACGTGAATTCGAACATTATGAAGAGTATAAAGAACATGAAGAGTATGTCACAGGTATGAGCAGAACTCTATACCTGACACCACATTAAATATATGCAGATGACATTAGGACACGATAAAATTTTGAATACCCAAAGAAATTTGAAAAAGAACTTTGTTTTGTTTGGGAAACTCAGAATTTTCTTTCTCGGACAACTTTTAGGGGAAAAAATTCTCTATAAACTGTTAAGTGACTGTTAGAGTTTGGTTCTGGGCATAATCTGTTTCCCTTCTCCTTTTTGCTTTTACAAATATCAAACAAATGAAACTAAATTTCTTTCTCCAAAAGGCTGAGTCTGTCTGCAAGTGCCCTTGATCATTCCAATACATGACCAAAAATTTCTGAACTTCTCTAATCCTGAAGCTTGTTATTATCAAACAGGATAGCCTATTGAGAAAACAGTCTACCCTTGGAGCTCCCCTCATCAAAGCGTAACAAAGATTCCTTCAAAAATAAAGACAGGAAAATCCAACAAAAGCAACTGTGTTTTATCATTGTGCAGATCAAATTTGTAGGAATAAGATTCTATTGGATCTCAGAATGAATCAATATTATTTCATTTATTCAATTTTTGGTGTTTCACGGCCTAATTTTGAGAATGTTCTATGTAGTTCTATTTGTAGTTTTACAAATAGAATTAAAAACAAATATTATATGGAGAGGAGTTTAACCGTGATGTTGTCTACCTCAAGTGAAATGATAATATGTAAAAGAGAGTCACAGTTACCCAATTGAAGTAAATTAGCAAGGAGGAAGTAGCAATAAAATCTTGTTTAAGTCTTTTATACCTTATTCTACTTGAACCTCTAATTCTTACTCACCTCTCAAGGCTATGGCTATGCTATAGATAAGATATATTATTTTAATTCTTTGTGTCCATTGAAGAAATATCATTTTTCATGTCCTAACATAGACATGTCTAACATTAAATACCCTGTATGTATTTTTTTAAAGAACCTGAGAAGCCCGTCCCAGTAAAGCCTGTCCAGGAAGAACCAGTCCCCACAAAACCAAAGGCCCCACCAGCTAAAGGTAGAGTGAGAAAAGCATTATTAGTTATGAGACCTGTGGTTCTTACACGTCTGTCCAGCTACAAATCCGTGTTGAAGTGGCAGTGTACCAATCGTGTGTGTGTTTGGGATCACTATGTTGTACATCGTATTTCTTAATTTTTTTCTTACTGCTCTTAAGAAGTCTGGTTCAGGTTTTTAAATCTGTTAATATTGATATTTTAAAGTGCCGAAGAAAGTGGTCCCTGAAGAAAAAGTACCAGTGCCCATCCCTAAGAAACTCAAGCCGCCACCTCCCAAAGGTACATGGCAGTACAATAACAGCAACATCTTTGTCACTTACATTCGATCAACATGTCTTACTGCCTTGTCTGGTGGTCTTTGTTTTGACTGAATGTATTGTTTGGTGCTGATTCTTACCTTTCTCCGTGTTTCACGAATTTTTATTTACATGATATTCGTGTGTTTGGTTTTAATGGTCTTTAATAATTAATATCTTTAAAGCACGTGAAGAAGCCAAGAAAGTTGTTGAGGAAAAAATACAGATTTCAGTTATCAAACGTGAAAAAGAGCAGGTGGCTGAACCAGCTGCTAAAGGTATAATTTCCTTCCTCGATTGTGGCCTTTTATAATGTCTCTTTTAAAACTTAAGCAGTTATGTTTTGCTTTTTTTCCCCTCACTGTTTTGTATCTTTTATATTAATTGCTGGATGGATATTGGATAGAAAAATCTATAAATACAGAATAAAAAGATAATGTTATCTTAAAAGGAGAAGTTATCGCAAAATATATCCATATCTCCTTATGCAATGGCTGTCCTAACACACAGCTACAATGAATATAGAATACAATGTTTGGATTTAAAATCAGTGACCATTTGGCAGATTCCTGACTTACCTAAATTGATGTAATGATATAGCAATATACGCCACCGTTTAAGATCTGTTTGTTGATCCTAAAGTCACTTTGAAGATTGAAGAAAGACCATTTTCCCCTGCTTTTTACTAAGTAGCTCCTCTGCAATTTCAGACAGTATACCTACCCAGAAATAAATTTAGCTTTTCGGTAAAGGATGTTTCATACAAGAAGAGATATCAGACGCTAAGCACTACTTCACAATCAGGATTACCCAGACCTCGTATGTTTTTATTCCAGTGAGGTTCAGAATCTGTTCCATGGAAAATATAAAGTTTCTCTAGTTGAACAACTGTATATCTACCATAGGAGAGACACTAGCAAAATCATTTTATATCCTTAAAGTACAATAGAGCAAGCATTAATTGGGTGACCTGTTTCTGAAAATAAAATTTCCGTATACTTACTGTTTCAAGTGCCCATGAAGCCCAAGAGGGTTGTCACAGAAGAAAAAGTACCTGTTCCTAAAAAAGAAGTAGCAGCACCTGTTAGAGGTACCTATATGTGCTCTTCTTAATGTGTCGTTTGTCTTTTTTGGTATGAAATTCATGTTCAGTTCTATGTGTAAAGTTCTTCTGTGGAAAAGATGAAGCCTATTCCTTCTTCTATGACAAATAGCCATGTTCCTAATGTGTCTTAATTTTGTCAAGTAATTGGAAAATATCCAACCTAAAAATAATGTCTTTAAAGTGCCTGAAGTACCTAAAAGAGAAGAACCAGAAGAGATTGCCTTTGAAGAGGAAGTTGTAACCCACATAGAGGAATATTACGAAGAAGAAGAAGAAGAAGAGTACATTCATGAAGAAGAGGAACTCATAACTGAAGAAGAAGTGGTACCAGTCAAAGGTAGATTACATCTGCTACCAAGGGATAAGCAGCAACATCTTTAGTGTCCAGTTGGGTTAAATTCTGGGGTGTATTAGCACCAATGACCCGTTCTGCTTGTATTAGGAAAAGACACTTACAGGGGCTGAAGCATGATTTCTGCAATTGCTTTTCACATTTTATATCTTTTTCTGCAACATTTCCAAAATTCTTCATAATATCTTTAAAGTGCCTGAGGTACCCAAGAAACCTGTCCCAGAAGAGAAGAAACCTGTTCCTGTTCCCAAAAAGAAGGAAGCCCCACCAGCAAAAGGTACACCACCACTCATATCATGAGTGTATAAAAAACTTAGATGCTCTATCATGTTCAACTCTTTGCGACCCAGTGGACTGTAGCCCGCCAGGTTCCCCTGTCCATGAAATTCTCCAGGCAGCAATACTGGAGTGGGTTGCCATTCCTTTCTCCAGGGGATCTTCCTGACCCAGGAGTCAAACCCTAGTCTCCTACATTGCAGGCAGATTCTTATACCAGCTTAATCTGCATTTAAATAGACATCTTCTGAGTTCAAAACTTTGGAGTTGTTGCCATCTGTTGTTTGAAACTGTCCTGTTGTTTGTTCACTGTCCTTTGTGTGGATATGTTGTTACTGGTAGCAAGAACTTATCAATAAACAATATCTTTAAAGTGCCTGAGATTCCTAAGAAGCCTGAGGAGAAGGTTCCTGTGCCCATTCCTAAGAAAGAGAAGGCTCCACCAGCTAAAGGTACATCTCTTTGTAATACATCAGTGGAATAATGTAATAATTTACCCATGTAGTATAACTTGGTGAGCCACATCTGTTCTTACCCCCTGGTGATATTAGCAGTATTAAAGCCAAGACAAAGACCTCCCAGCTGGTAACTGGAGCAGTTTATTGTGTATTCAACTCTGAATTTTACCATCAAAGCATACTGGTGATTAATGTTTGACTCCTCCTCTTTAGTGCCAAGTTCTTAGAATAAAAAAAGTTTTTATTTTAATATGAAGATGGACAAAATCATCATTTACCAGACATTGTGTGTTGTCTCTATTAGCAGTCTACATTTGTTCAGTGTTCTTTATCTGAATTTTTGTGCATTTCCAGGCCTTTGTTTTGTGGCTATTACAATTATTATTTTCAATCTTCAAGTGAAATTGTTCAAACATCTGTGATACTTCAATAGGCCTAAAACTGCTAAATTCTTACCTGTGGGTGAAAAATGTGACACTAACGCTCTTTTATGTCTTTAAAGTGCCTGAGGTACCCAAGAAACCTGTACCAGAGGAGAAAGTGCCAGTACCAGTTCCCAAAAAGGAGGAAGCTCCACCTGCCAAAGGTACATGAACTTGCAACGTCATAAACATTTTTTACACTTCAAATTTGCACATGAGTAAATAATTAAACTCTGTGTTACTTGGAGATGCACTGCTTTAGTATTCCTTCGTGGAAAAGAAAAGATTTTATTTTTTAAAAGTAAAATGCTTCCTGAAACAATGTGGTCATACTCTTATGACCTTGTCATAATCTTTTGGAGACTATGCTTGGCTTCAAAGTTCTAGGTTGGATAAACTGTTTCTCTAATCATTTCTTTAAAGTGCCGGAAGTGCCCAAGAAACCTGTGCCTGAGAAGAAGGTGCCGGTTCCTGCTCCTAAGAAAGCAGAGGCTCCACCAGCAAAAGGTACATCACTTCACCGTGTAAAATCCATGGGAAAAAAACCCTTATGCTTACATATGTACTCATGCATGCTCAGTCACTTTAGTTATGTCCAACCCTTTGCGACCCCATAGACTGAAGCCCACCAGGCTCCTCTGTCCACGGGGATTCTCCAGGCAGGAATACTGGAGTAGGTTGTCGTGCCCTCCTCCATGGAATCTTCCCAACCCAGAGATCGAACCCAAGTCTCCTGCATTGCAGGCGAATTCTTTACCATGAGCCACTGGGGAAGCCCAACATTTGTATATATGTGTACATATATAAACTCTCCCATAACATTATGTGGTTTAAACAATTGTCTGTCTTATTAGAAATATTAAAGTCAGATATTTCGTGATTCCTTTTTATGTCTATTGCTCTAACACATGTAAAAGAACACATTCTTAAAGAAAAATAATGTCTCTAAAGTGCCAGAGGTGCCCAAAAAAGTCCTCCCAGAAGAAAAGAAGCCAACACCTATTTCGAAAAAAGTGGAGGTTCCTCCGCCCAAAGGTACATTTATCTCTAACAAACTCAAAACAAAAAGGCAAACTAACTGGCATTCTACAGCCTCACTAATTATAATGACTTATGTTGGTAACAGTTGATGCTTTTTGACTACAGAATATTAGCTTTTCATGTTGTCCCACTGTTTTGAATATTGTACATAAAAGTGATGCTTGTCCGATTGACAATTATCTTTAAAGTGCCAAAGAAACGTGAGCCAGTTCCAGTTCCAATTCCTGTAGCTCTGCTCCGGGAAGAGAAAGTTGTACATAAAGAAGAAATTGTTCTTGAAGAGGAATTTCTCCATGAGGAAGAAGAAGTTCTACTTGAGGAAGAAGTTCCACCAGAGGAAGAGGAAATTTCACCTGAGGAAGAAGTTCCACCAGAGGAGGAGGAGATTCCTCCAGAGGAAGAGGAAGTTCCTCCTGAAGAAGAGGAAATTCCTCCTGAGGAGGAAGAATTTGTACCTGAGGAAGAAGTGGTACCCGAAGAAGAAGAAGTTCTTCCAGAAATTAAGCCTAAAGTGCCAGTACCTGCACGAGGTATAGCAGCTCTTCTTGAAGTCCTCAGGCCTCTTTTTGTGTTGAATTCTGCCTTTCCGTCCTGTTGTTCATCTCTAATTTTATCTGTGATGCTATCCTCTTTGTGTTTGCTACCATCTAAATCTTAGAGAACATTCCAGACATGTGTGCTCTTTTTGTGTCTGTCTTATGTGTCTATTTATTGTAAGTAATCTGAATGTCTTTTCAGATTTCATGACATAGAGTGTTATTTAGTTGTTTGTGTTCCTATTCTCATGTGTCTTTTTGTTACATATCCAGTACTGTACATGTGATTTTTTAATGTTTTAAAATGAATGTTTTAAAGTGCCTGAAGTGCCAAAGAAACCTGTACCAGAGAAGAAAGTCCCTGTTGCAGCTCCTAAAAAAGTGGAACCTCCACCACCTAAAGGTACACTTCCTCCAAGTACATACACATTCTTCACCCATAGTTTCACCAGAAAAATTATAGCAGAACTGGGATTTAGGAAACTTTATGCTTATAAACTAGTCACGTTAACTTTTGAAAATGTTCAAGAACTCTGATATCCACTTTTCATTGGATATAAAGCAATATTCAGGAACAAAGATGGAGAGAAGTATTAAAATTTCCCCAGAAGTTCTACCCAATTCCCTATAATTTTATTAAACATCATAATTTCCATATAGATATTTTACAAGTCTAAGTTATCAATGTGAACAGCACCTGAAAAATGTGATGAATTAATCTTCCTAAACATCATCCTTCAATCATTTATATAAAGTGTCTTTAGAACATCAAGATGAAAAGATAAAAGATTAATGCATTTGTGAAAACACTGATTGTTAGCGTGTGTCTTCTGATACATACATATAAATGGTAGCCCAGCAGGGTTTGATTTTAGCCTTGAATATGTATCTTGCTGTGTTAGCCTGAGCAAGTCCTTTAACAATCTAAGCCTAAAAAGTGAGGAAACTAATATCAGTCCTAGTGGGCTCAGATATTACTGTGAGGATAAAAGAAAGTAAAGTATATAGAAGGACTCTATGATTGAATGAATAGTATCCAGATTTATCATATTCAATCAGTGCATAGTATGGGACAGTATATATTTATGCCTTAAAGCTCAATATTTTCTGCAAAATTTATGACATTACTACTTAAAATCAGCATGACCTCTCCACTAGGTTAAATAGTATTACAATCAACAAAACAGTAAAGCTGATACTTTATTGGATTGTAAGAATTTAGAAATATTCTATAGATAATGATTTAATAAATTTCTAGTGGGTGAAATGATAGCATCTATCCTCTGGTATTCAAATAGGTTGCTGATCCCTTCCTCTAAGGCACCTAATTCTATCCTTACCTTTGGGCTCCCGACTTATTCTACATCCCTGTCCTGAGCGACTGTTGCATGTTAGTCTTTCTCTGTGTGAACTTCTTGTGTTCTCTCTTTTTTGTCCTTTACAATAAGTTCTTATCATTAAATGATGTCTTTAAAGTGCCTGAGGTTAAGAAGAAAGTGCCAGAGAAGAAAGTGATCATTCCCAAGAAAGAGGAGGTTCCTCCTGCCAAAGGTACTGCTCTTCCCAAGCAAATTAGATACTGCCATTTCTTCCTTCACCTGTAAATGCCAGAATGCCCCGTTTCCCAGTGTGGGTTAACATAACTTACAATCTTGTGCTGTCCGTTGTCTCTGTGTTCATGAAACTGAACTTACAAAATAATATCTTTGAAGTGCCCGTGGTGCCTAAGAAACCTGAACCAGAAAAGAAGGTGCCTCCACCCGGTCTTAAGAAAGCAGTGCCTCCTCCTGCCAAAGGTACAGCAGTCCCAACAGGAGTGTTTGCTGCCCTCTGGGGTGGAAATGTGATGCTCTTCACTTAGGGATGTGCCACATAAACGTTTGCACTGTGCACTCTGTTGTGTAGCCACACCTGAAACTCTGCTGCACCCATATTTGTTCTATGTCAGTTCTTCCACTCTGTCTTTGTGTATTTTATGTTGATCTGTCTATGGATGTTGTTTGTAAAAAAAAAAGTAGAATAAAAATACTAAACTTATGTATCTTTCAAGAGCCTGAGATAACTAAGAAACCCATCCCTGAAATACCCGTTGCTCTTCCTAAAAAAAGTAGGGGCTCCAGCAGTAAAAGATAGAATGGTGTTTATCTTGAACCGCCAACCTTTTATTTTTGTCTCATTACGATGTTGTGAAATGTCAATGTTTCATCTTGTGCATGTGTATTCTGTTATTAGTTCTCTTGTGCTGAAAAATGGGGAACTTGGTCTTTATGTGCTCTGCCTGGTTCTTGCACTTTAAGTGCCTAAAACAATCAATATCTTTTAAGTTCCTGAGGTGCCTAAGAAGGTGGAAGAAAAACGAATCATTGTCCCTGAAGAAGAGGAAGTTCCACCAGTTGAAGGTAGATGACTTTCTAAGAAAATAGCATTTTCAAAAGCATTACTATCTTATTTTGTCTAATATTTTCAAGAGGTATATGCATACTTCACTCCAGAAAATAAACATATTCAGACTCTACAAGAAAATATTCTTTACCTAGTAGAAATTGGATAGGCAAAACAAAACCAATTGAATCTCTTTTCTTACATGTGTGATTGTTTGTTGTTTGTTTGTTTTACTTTAATGAGAATCTTTGAAGGGAAACTGGGTTTGCCATGGGAAGCTTTTCATCGCATGACTTGGTTGGTAATTGTGGGATTAGCTTCTCCAAGAGGAGTTCTTAGTTAAACCTGAATAACTGGTACAGAAAGTCTGACTTTGACTCCTAAGTGAATGTTTGACTTCAAAAAAAGTCCACATCCATTAAAAATAATAATTTAAATTGAATTCTTTCTGAAGTCCTTTCCAGTTGTAAAATTCTAGGAAGGACCTAATGTATTCTGAAGACTCAGTAAGGCTTTTTTCAAGGATGAATGAGTTTTCACATGTATTTAGAAGGCTGGGTTACCTATGCTGATCACACAACCTCAGTTTTCAGATGTATCATTTTAGTCTAATATCCAAATGGATTATAAAAAGTAATTTACAAAATAATAATCTTTTTAAAGTGTTTGAGGAGCCTGAAGAGCCTATTCCGGAAGAGGAGGTCCCGGAGGAACCACCTATTGTGGAGGAGGTTGAGGAGGTGGCGCCACCTACAGGTACAGCTGATTTTATGGATTGGACATTTGTTCGCTATCTTTCCCAGAAGTCATCTAAACCTAATATTCACCAGTATACTTTACTTACATCATATCAATGACAAATTGAAGATTACTTATGATAAGCACCTGAAACTTTGTGTCCCTTTTCTTTGCCCAACTTTTTCCACTGCATTTGCAGTACAATTAGAATGAGCAGCAGCAGAATGAGAGAGAGAATTTTATGTTATTGACACTTTTATGTTTTCTGGTCAGCTGCTATTGTAATACTTTCTCCTAGTTTCCAATCCTTAATTTTCTTCTTCAGTAGGAAAGTGAGGGAAAACCTATTTCTATGGTGTTCGCCCTTGAGAATAATTCTTAGGCTTTCATTGCTAAAGACTGTGACAGTCCTTTGATAGTTTACGCACACCTTTGTTTGCTTATAGGATTTCCAAGTAATATTCCTCTCACCTTTAGAGTCAGTACTTCATATATATAATTACCATTTAGGCTGCTAATATCTTTTGTAAAATAAATCAATGTTTTGTGTCTGGATTTTTTTTTTTGTATATGGTAGTTGTTGTTCTGTTTATTGCATGTCATTTTTCAAAATGTCTGTAAAATATCTCTTAAGTGCCTGAAGTGGTTAAGAAAGCAGTACCTGAAGCACCTACTCCTGTTCCTAAAAAAGTGGAGGCACCACCAGCTAAAGGTATAACAAATCCTTTTACTAAAGATAATATCTTTAAATTCTTATCCATCTTCTTTTTAAAAAAAACAAAAATATCTTCTTTCATTGCTTTCTTAGTCATTTAAATAGCTTATGAAATTAATTAAGAACCTGTAAAAATATAATTCATTCGATTGTTTTAGCATTTTGGAATGTTAATAATTTTATATATATGTATGTGTGTGTGTGTGAATTATTTCAGAAGATTCTTATTTTAAATAGCTGGGAATTTTAATGTTAATAGTACATCTCTCTATACTTATATACATTACAGTGGATCTTTATTCTCAATATTTCATTCCTAGATTTTATTCCATTATATAAGTAGAATTTTCTCATATAATATTACAGTAATTATATCTGCTGTATTTTTTATGGGGGATGTCTATTCTAATGCTTAGATAATAATTATTTTAAAGAGCCTAGTGTTCCTTTTGTGATATCTGACCAGAGTATTCAAGGTTATTACAAAGCATCTGTTTCTCTTTGCTTCCCAATTAGGCTAATGCTTCAGTAGCCTCCTAATTGTTTAGGTTATGCTGTCTCTATCACAGTAGATAGCCTCAGCAGACATGATAGTTCCCAGCAGAATGTGACACCTATATATTGAGGCTTGAGTACTTCATGAGGATAATCACTTGAAAAAAGCGTTCGTGAAATTAAAAATAGTAGAATCAGGCTCAATATTGGTAGTCCCCGCTATTAAAAACAAAAAGATGGCACAGGTTTCTTGTGGACATATCTTCTTCTAAGGAAGTAATAGCACAAATGAGTGAAGATATCTTTATTGCCTCTAAAATTTGTGTCCAATTTTACAGTACAGAGTGACTTCTTAAACTCTGATTGTTGTAATATTGATGCTATTTCTGATGTTTTTATTTCATGTTTACCATTGAGTATTGTCAGCTAACTGAAATGCCTAATATCTTTAAAGTGCCAAAGAAAGTTCCGGAGGAAAAAATACCAGTTCCTGTTCAGAAAAAAGAGGCCCCTCCAGCTAAAGGTACATCTTTTCTTTTTAACTTCAACTTTCTTATAATCTCTTTTCATTAAGAGTTTTATGTTTTATGTCAACATGTCTTGATGGTATTTGATGTCTTTTGCTTATGAAAGCTTGCTCTTCACAGTCTTAAATATTAAAACT